CTCTTGGTGCTCACAGCCTGAACACAGGACCCCATGCTTTTTCTGGGCTGTGCACAGGAATCTTCTGCAGGATTCTCTAAGGTCCTATACGCTGGCCGCTTTCTCCCCTGGGATTTATCAAGGAAGCAGGGTTCCTCTCTCTAAGATTTCCTGAGAAGGGGCGCGGTGAGGTTGCCCAGTAAATTACAGGACTCCCAGTTATGCATTTCAGATACAGTGAAAGAAAAAAAGGTTGGTATATCACATGGGCTTGCAGCTTCCATCAGCTGCAAAAACACAGCAGTTGCTAGAAGGAAAGTGAAGCTGGAAGCAAGAAAACGATAAAAATAAGAGCAATAACTCAACAAACAAGGCATCTGGGGGCTATTGAACATAAAGGCAAACAGTTCGGGGCAGCCTGATCTGCCTTGAGGACAACCTCTGTATTACAAGTTTAAACACAACCAAAGGTTCATGGCGGTGACGCTGGATCGTTGGCTACATAAATTAAAGTCTCCAGGTTCTACTGCAGGGCAAAGTGATGGCCAATGTATTTTACGGGTTTTTTTTTTTTTTTCCTACAGAACTGAATGAATCGGAGTTAAAAACCCACGTCTTAAAAGGCTTCTCTTTTCGATAAAATTCACGCATATGGGAAGCCTCGGTCATCCTCCTATGATGCTGCTGAATAAACCAGACTGGCCCAACATACTTGCTTTTTGTTTGCTTGTTTTACACTGCAGTATAAAGAGTCTTGCAATGACCTCAAGTATGGAATATGCTTTCTTGCGCGACTCACTTACTAACGGGAGAAAGAGAAACATGAAATTTGCGTGTATTTACGTGTCTCCACTTGTGTACCGTGCGGATATTTTCCGAGATGTCATCTTAAAGACTTGAAGCAATTTTATCTGGATGAGAATCCAGTCCCTGACCTCGGGGCCATGGAGCAACAATGTTTTTGAGCAACGGCTCCAGGAGAGATGCGCGAATGAGCTCTACCTTGTGTTGTATGAATCACGAAATCCCGGACGGTGACACGCTGTTTCTGTCGTCCTGCTTTCCTGATGAACAGAATCTATTTCATGCTTGTGAAGCCAATCGTTTTGTTTCTTGTGTTACCCACGCATTTCACCAGCAACAGAGCGAACGTGCAGACCCTCCACCATCTGGCTCTGAAGCCACAGACAGTATCACTTTATTTTCCGCTTGCGGAGCCTCTGGCAAAACAGTCCTTACGTGAACCTCTTCCTTGAGGAACCAAAACTCCCATAATTTCATCCACTGCAATTATTTCCTACCTGTCGTCTTGCAAACTGAGTAAAACCTCACCACGTATGTATTTGCTGTTGCCGGTGAAACCAAAGCACCAGAAAGCGGAAAGCCAGCCACGCCACGCACAACGGTCGAAATAGAAACTTGTATGGTCAGGAATGTGTATCAGAACTGTCCCCCCACGAAGGGTCCCTGGCATGTAACGGACACTTTAAGAACTGATGGCTTTGTGAGGGCCATTGCTTGGACCTAATTAACACACTCCTTCCTTACCCAAGACCAAAACCCAATTTCAAAAAGGAAACTTTAGTGTCCTTTAGTTTACGCCACAAGGAAATGGGGTACATCTGTAGAGGATACCGGGACACCCGTGATGATCGACAAAAGCTCCTGCCAAAACCATCATCAATCATACGCTGAACTCCCTACTTGAAACATTTTCTGGCACAATCTCTTTTGCTAGTGTTCATAAAAATGAATAGTGACACCTTTCAAGGTTCTTAAATCACAGAAACACCTTTTATGGAGTGTGACTGTGCAGGCTTATTAGATAGGGGCTGGTTTATATTACAGACACTTGGGGCCTCTGCTGCGGAAGTTCCAATCGTTGAACCGAATTCTTCTGGTGACTACTGCAGACGTGCTTGTGTGAAAAACCCGCATTTTTTTTTTTTACCATTTCACACCAAATTCTTCAGTTCACCTCAGGATTATATAGTAAATTGCCTGTGGGCTGACACCGCTGATCAGCTCCAGCAGTGTTTAGCAGTTTCACTGAAATGACAGCTAATGTCCAAGGTGCACCCCTCAAGGACGGCAGAAGGGAGGCATTCCCTTCCCCAAATCTGCTCTGTTCCTGGCCTCAGAGATTTCGTGTCTTTAACCAAGGAAACATATACTTGAAGGGTTTCCCCAAATGCTCCTATCTCAAACATTACCTGAATCCAATGTGTTCATGAATTGGCAGAGGAAGAATTCAGGTGACGAGAATTTGGGTAGTGAAGGACAACTTGCAGACCGCTTCATTCATATGCATTCGGTAAACTTCCTGCCTCATCGCCCCAATTCTCCCATGGAACTTGGCACGCGTGCCGATAATGTATCGATCAAGGCGGACAGCAGAACGTAACGCTAACGAACAGCGGGAAGGAGAGAACACCGCGGCTTGTTCTCTCTCCACAAACCCTTCAGCTCTGCTTATTTAGACCATGCCTACATTCAGCTACGTACGTACGTCTGTAGCTTTGAAAGGAAAGATTTAAATGTTGTTACGCGGGCTTCAGAGGAGGGTGCACAGGGATGTAAGGGCAAACGCAAGCGGGCTCAAGAGCTGGGGCTGGGCTTCCTGGACGGCGAAGTCCACGGGGGCAGCTGACGCACCCGCGGCAAACACACAACTTCTCCGCTGGTTCAGGCCAGTTTTCAGAGAAGCTGTCGACCTGCACATATCGTCCTTTCTTTGGGGTCCCGACCTCTTGCTCTCCTGCAATTACTCCAACCACCCCCAGGCTCAATGCTCCAGGGATGCTCACTGACGCTAATCCCAGGACGTGTCCAAGAACATAAATTATGAACAAGAGACACTGAAATAGAAGGCAGGGAAGAAGGGAAGACAAAACACACGCAGTGAGAGAAGGAAGGGCAGGAGCAGGAAGGAAGGTTTTCAAGTATGTGAGAGGTATTGCATGTGCTCTTATACTGTGAGGGGAATAGGAAAATGGGCTCAAAACTTAAAAACAAAGAAAAAAGAAGAAGTGCTCACCATCCAGGGTCCAGAAATCCCACTTCTACTTCCTTACCACATCAAAAATTTCCAGTCTAAAAAAAAAAAGAAATGTGCGGGCGCCTGGGTGGCTCAGTCGTTAAGCGTCTGCCTTCGGCTCAGGTCATGACCCCAGGCTCCTGGGATCAAGCCCGCATCGGGCTCCCTGCTCAGCGGGAGGCCTGCTTCTCCCCCTCCCACTCTCCCTGCTTGTGTTCCCTGTCTCGCTGTGTCTCTCTCTCTGTTAAGAAATAAATAAAAAAATCTTAAAAAAATAAATGTGCATGCACAAGACTCACACCCCCACGTCAAAGAACTTTCCAGAAATTTAAGAACCTATCCACACCCTGAAGCCAAAGAACCTTCCAGAAATTTAAGAACCTATTCACATCCTGAAGCCAAAGAACCTTCCAGAAATCTCTCTGGGATCCAGAGAAGAAACAAGTCCTAGACTTCACGATATCTGGAAACAGATTTAAACAAGGCTCCCTCAGGGGGAGGGTGCTCACAGCCTTGCTGAGGTCTGGGATTATTTTCCCCTCAGACGAGCTGGGCTGAAACTGTTTTGTTAGCAGTTTTTAGTTTGCACATCTTAGGAAATAATGTTTTTTAGAGTAATCATTTTACGGTTATACGAAAATCTGTCCCTGAGCAGTATCCGTTCTCGAACTCATAAAATACTGTTAATTTATTCTGATAGATATTGAACTGACTCCAAACAAGGACTGCTGATGAACAGGCCCAGGTTATAGCTGATGCCGGTTTGAGAGCAAGTGCCTTAGTAGGCCATGGATCCTTTCCTCCACATGGGCCTTTTTTGACAGTTACCTGGATGACAATAAAGATGTTCCAAAGGATGAGATTTAGGAAGAACAGTCAATGGGTTAGAAGAGAGAATCCAATCTCAACAGTTTGGAAGGAGCTCTTAAGACCAACATGATTTATTTTTAATGAAAGGGTACAAATATTATATCAATGTTAATAGAAACCCACAAGTAGCAATACAAAGGATAAAGAAGTCTACCCCCAATCCTGCAACACCATAGTATTTTTATTACAGAGTTTTGATTTTATTTTCCTAAGCATTATTTTACTCACAGATATTATTTTAACATAATGGTGAAATAAAGTCTTGAATCTATGAGTAAAAAAAATAAATCCACAAATACTAGATATGAGGGAGTAGTACATAAGACTACCTGAAAAAGTTGCTTCACTGTAAATTCAATATAAAACAACAGTGTAATTACGGTCTCAAAAGCTAACGCAATTCTGACTTCATTAATGGAACTATGAACATAAAGAAACAATAAAGAACAGCTCCCACGCACCCCACCTCCTTACACCACCCCAAGGGTGCCGTCCTCAGACCTTAGCGACTGGACGCGAGTGCCTGGCAAGCTGGACCGACGCTCCCAAGGGTGAATCTAACAGAGGACTGCAAGCCCTGTGCTGCCAAGAGGGCAGGGGAGTGAGGCACGGACCTGGAGCCTCCCAGACACAGCAGCAAGCCTCAAATACCACAAGTCGCTTCGTATGGAAAACTTAAAGCTATTCAGTGTTACTGGGAAGGGCAGCACAAGAAACAAGGCAGAGGCATTCCAGAGACATCTTTAGTTTTGAAAGAAGCGGGGACTTGAAATGTCTTCAAGAGTCTTCAGGGGTCATCTCAGAAGGTAGTGACTTCATCTTTTTTTTTTTTTTAAGATTTTATTTATTTATTTGAAAGAGAGAGACACAGCGAGAGAGGGAACACAAGCAGGGGGAGTGGGAGAGGGAGAAGCAGGCTTCCCATGGAGCAGGGAGCCCGATGTGGGGCTCGATCCCAGGACCCCGGGATCATGCCCTGAGTCGAAGGCAGACGCTTAACGACTGAGCCACCCAGGCGCCCCTGACTTCTTCATTCTTTAGTGAAGGTCTGTGTAGGGTTTTCAGTGAGAGTATCTACGAACTGAGTTGATGGTTGGTTTCAAAACACTAAGTCTTTTGCAAATACAACATTCTGTAATCTTTATTGCTATGAGATCCAAATTCCCAGAAATGAAAACTAAACTTTTGGGGTGGTTGCTCTGCTTCCCTCTTCTGCCCAGCCTCCCACTTCAGTCTGTACCCGATGATCATCACGGCTTCATGGACCAAACGAGCGTCCGTGCTTTCCCTGCTGATGAAGTTGAACTTGCTGCGACAGCTTTTTGAAGGTGCAGAGACCGGAGGAGGTAACGACTTTCACATGTACACATCTCCCTCTCTTCCCACACACGTGAACCACGTGGAACATTTAATCAGGTGCTGAAAAAGAGATGTATTAAAGGACAACAGGATTTTGTTTCACAGTGGGGCAAAATACAAGAGTGTTTCCCAAGTAAATGAAGGGGAAAGCATTTGGCAAATCCAGTATTTTCTGATTTTTATTTAAGACTCACTTTTGTATTCTACTTGGCTCTGCCCTAACCTATTGAAGCCAAAAACAATTAGAACACAAAGAAGGTTTTGAAAATATTTGAGCTTAATTCACAGAGTTAAAGGTAAAGGGACATTATGGACTCAGAAGCCAAGCTATGAGTAAGGAGTAAAATACAGACCATAAAATGATTCCCTTGAAATTTCCTACTGCAACAACTACCATAAAAATTCCAAGGTTCATAAGGCCAAATGCAAGACTCAACACCTAACTAAAAGGCACCCTATTAAACACATCATAATTTTTTTAAAAGATTTTATTTATTTATTTGACAGAGAGATAGAGAGAGCACAAGTAGGCAGAGAGGAAGGCAGAGGGAGAGGGAGAAGCAGACTCTCCACTGAGCTGGGAGCCCGACGCGGGGCTCGATCCCAGGAGCCTGGGATCATGACCTGAGCCGGAGGCAGCCGCTTAACCGACCGAGCCACCCAGGTGCCCCAAACACATCATAATTTTTATTTTCACAATGTTGAGGTCAGCCTTGAAAGTTTAGAATATTCTAAGATTAATTCATCTGAAAAATACTTAATGGAACGCTCACCCAATCTGACAAATTTCTGTATTTTCCCTATAAGCATTAACCGAAGATCTTCCCACCTGATAACAGCACAGGACAGCACGAAGCCACACGGCCACTATTGGAGACAGCAGGGTGGCCGTCCAAGAAATAGCAGAGGAGGAGCTTATAATCTAGTAAATGGAGAGTACGCTGTTCCTTTAGAGGAGCTGGTTCTTTACGCCCCCGGGGATTACAGGATGACAAATCTGAGACATTAACAGAGGGTGTCTCTAGGGCAGAGACTGCTTTGGCAAACACCCTGAATTTACACACCAGAGTCACCCACAGAAGTTGTCTAGGCAGTTGTCTTCAAGACTTGATTTAATAGTGCACCCTTCTCTCAACCGTTTTCGGATTCTCGTCTCCTTTACAACCGTCCTCATATTTGAAATCTTTTACACTGGGTTTTAAATGTTTATTTTATTTTACTGGAGTACAGTTGATACACAATGTTATATCAGTTTCAAGTACCATGTAGTGATTCTACAATCCCATACATTCCTCTGTGCTCACCACGCTAAGTGTAGTCACCGTCTGTCACCATACAACGTTACCACAATATTATTGATTATATTCCCCATTCTGTACTTTTCATTCCCATGACTTGGCTTTACGATACAACCAATAATCATTCTGAGCAAAGAAAGGCTGGTAGGTATGGTAAATTAATGGAACAGCTAATTCAATTGGCCATATAAAATGTTTTCTAGAAATAACACTTGAGAGCAATCACAGGCAAGTTCCCAAAATCATGATCTCTGAACAAGTTCATAAGCTCAGCCCAGGCAAATACCTATCAGAACTGGGAAACAGTCCGAGCCACCAGTCTGAGAACTGCCAGTGCTGAACAAGAAATTTTTACAAATCCATGAAAACTTTACTCTGAAAACCTAATTTTCTAAAATGTATTAACTTATTTAACGACCAGATGGAGATCTGCTATTGTATTCGGGAGATACGCGGAGGCCTGCATGTCTTCTCCACACTCTGAAAGAAATATACGGTAGACGTACGCTTTTAATCTTACAAAGATAATTTTCGGTTAACAAGTACACCTGCTAAATTCATGAGCTATCAATGCGATGGACTTTGATCATTTTACTGAAGCCATGACGCACTTCAAATAGTAAAGTATCTGCGCTCTCTCACTTGTCATTTGCCTGCAGCTGTCTGCTCCTCCCCAACCCCCCCCCCAAGGCTTCCCATCCCCCGCCACCCCCCCCCCCCCAAGCCTTCCCCTCCCCCGCTCCCCCCCCCCCCCCAAGGCTTCCCATCCCCCGCTTCCCCTCTCCAGTCAGCTGCCACCCCATCCATCTCCACTTTACAGAAAGCAAGCTTCTCTTCCTGCATGCCTGAGGAGAGGGCTGTACCAGTCTCTCCCAAATGCCAAACACCTCATTTCTCCCGTCACGTGTCTGGCTTTGCGCTGAAACCTCAGGCCTGGTCTTTATGTGGGTCTCCCACTTGTCAGCTATGGACTGTTAACACATCATTCCAACAGTTACTTAGGGGCCCCCAGCTTCTCTGGGTCTGATGCCTCTCAGGTGCTCTGCCTAGCAGTGAAAGTTGTTTGGGTAGGACACAAAAAAGGCTCGTTTTATGCCTTTTCCAGTTAACATCATTGGTCAGGTCCACACCCAAGCAAGTGAGCAGATTAACCCTTGCAATCCTCGGATTTGAAGAAGATGCAGTAAACGCCTCTTTGTGGGATTACGTGGTGGGTCTCAAATCTCTGCTGAGGGTATCTGCATGTTCTACAGAATCTCCTCTGAAGGATCGCCTCTAGAACAATTGATCCAAAAACAGAATGTCTTCCTATTTTCAGAATGTAACACAATTCCTGGGGCTCCGTTGTAATCAATATGTGCTCTCTGAACTGAACAGTTTTAATTAATTAAAGATAGATAGGTGCAAGGGCAGACAGATGCATGGATCGATCTATCAATGAAGACCTGACTGGGTGTAGTTTGGGCTTTGCCACTGGCCAGGAAACTCTGGTTTTAATTCATTTTCCTCATTTGCTGTTGGGACTTGACATATGATTCTGCATTTTATATGCAAATTACTTTTTAAACTCACTTAACTTTTTAAAAAGATTTTATTTATTCATTTGAGAGAGAGAGAGAGAGAGAGAGAGAATGAGAGCGTGAGCAAAGCTGCAGAAAGAGGCAGAGGGAGAGGGAAAAGCAGACTCCCTGATGAGCAGGATCCTCGGATCATGACCTGAGCTGAAGGCAGATGCTTAACTGACTGAGCCACCCAGGTGCCCCTAAACTCACTTAATTTTATTGAAAGCCTAATTTTTTTTTTTTAACCACAAAAAATTTCTTAGCTTCAGTTTAACTCAGGATTAGTGAGGTCATTAAAAATTTATTCACTCCAGACCTAGAGGTCAACTCAACTTCCTATAGTCAACATGTTCTACAATTTTAATTGAACAAAGAAAAAATTTTCTGAGGCAAATATCTAACAAACATCTGGCCGGTTATAAACACATTCTAGACTCCAGGTTACAAGTCAATGATCTTTGGAACAACTATAAAACACCTTCCAATATTATAAAGAAGGTCTCTGCAGTTTTAGTCAGACTTTCAACTTTGTGATGATGAAATTCAGAATAAAGATAGATTTATCTTTAATTAACCAAAGAGGTAAAAGATCTGTATTCTGAAAACTAAAAAACATTGATGAAAGAAACTGAAGATGACACGAAGAAACAGAAAAATGGAAAGGCATTCCATGCTCATAGAATGGAAGAAATATTGTTAATATGTCCATAATACCCAGAGCAATCTACACATTTAATGCAATCCCTATCAAAATACCACACAGTATTTTTCACAGAACTAGAACAAACAATCCTAAAATTTGTAGGGGAGCACAAAAAGACCCCAAGTAGCCAAGACTATTTTGAAAAAGAAAAACAAAACTAGAGGTATTACAGTTCCAGACTTCAAGTTCTACTACAAACCTACAGGAATCAAAACAGTATGGTACCGACACAAAAACAGACACATCTATCAATGGAACAGAATAAAAAGCTCAGAGATAAACCCACAACTATATGGTCAATTAATCTTCAACAAAGCAGGAAGGAATATCCAGTAGGAAAAGAAGAATCTCTTCAACAAACGGTGTTGGGAAAACTGGACAGCCACATGCAAAAGAATGAAACTGGACCACTTTCTTAACACCATACACAAAAATAAACTCAAAATGGATTAAGGATCTAAATGTGAGACCTGAAACATAAAAATCCTACAAGAGAGCACAGGCAGTAATTCCTTTGACATTAGTCGCAGAAACATCTTTCTAGATATGTCTCCTGAGGCAAGAGAAACAAAAGCAAAAATAAACTACTCGGACTCCATCAAAATAAAAGGCTTCTGCACAGCGAAGGAGAAAAGCAACAAAACTAAAAGATAACCTACTAAATGTAAGCAGATATTTGCAGAGGACATATCCAATAAAGAGTTAGTATCCAAAATATATCAAGAACTTATACAACTGAACACCAAAAAACAAATAACGCAATCAAAAATGGGCAGAAGACATGAACGGACATTTCTCCAAAGAAGACATACAGATGGCCAACAGGCAGATCAAAATACACTCATTATCACTTATCATCAGGGAAATGCAAATCAAAACTACAATGAGATACCACCTCACACCTGTCAAAATGGCTAAAATCAGTAACACAGGAAAAAACAGGTGTTGGCGAGGATGTGGAGAAAGGCGAACCCTCTCACACTGTTGGTGGGAATGCAAACTGGTACAACCACTCTGGAAAACAGTATGGAGGTTCCTCAAAAAGTGAAAAAATAGAACTATGCTACGATCCAGTAATCGCACTACCGGGTATTTGCACAAAGAATATGAAACCACTAACTTGAAGGGGGCATATACACCCCATATTTATTGCAGCATCACTGGCAATACCTAAACTATGTAAGCAGCTGAAATGTTCATCAACTGATGAATGGATAAAGAAGATGTGGTATATACCTACAAAGGAATATTACTCAGCCATCAGAAAAAATGAAATCTTGCCATTTGCAACAACACGGATGGAACTCGAGGGTATAATGCTAAGTGAAATAAGTCAGAGAGAGACAAATCCCATGTGATCTCACTCATATGTGGAATTTAAGAAACAAAACAGAGGAGGGAGAAAGAAACCAACTAAGGAACAGATTCTTACATAGAGAGAACAAAGTGGTGGTGACCAGAGGGGAGGTGGGGGGGTGAGGGGGGGGGGGGGCGGAG